AGGCGCAAAGCTACACAGAGAAACCCTGTCTCGAAAAACCAAAAAAAAAAAAAAAAAAAAAAAACAAAAAAAAAAAAAAAAAAGACTCCCATTAGATCCTGCCAAATGCATTTCCTAGAAGCTCAGTTCATTCACTGTATCTTTTCTGGGAGGAGTCTTGGGATTCAGAGCTCATGGAATTGTAGGAAGGGAACAAAGGATTGCCCTGCATATGACATGCCATTCCCAGGTAGGCCATGGCAGCACTTCACAATCAGACATAAATCCCTACAGAGCGTGTGATGGTTAATACTGTCAACCTGATGGGATCTGGAATCACTTGGAGACAAGTGTCTGGGCATGCCTGTGCAGAATCTGTGAGTTCAAAGCCAGCCTGTTCTATATAGTGAGTTCTAGACCAGTTAGGGACACACAGTGAGACCCCATTTCCAAAACAAACAAACAAAGATTTATTGAGAAATTAAATGCTTTTTACAGTGTTTTCCCCATAGATGAGCATAGGGTCTTCCTCAGTTTGCTTCTCCTTGGTGGCCTTCAGCCCCTTCTTTGCCCTTGTAACAGAACTTGCCCTGCTGTGCTACGGTTGTTAAGGTCCCCCCAGAAACATAGAAATTCACTGAGAAAGAAATGGAAAAGTCTTTAGCCATTTGAAGGTGAAAAACTTAACTCATAGTTAATGACATTCGAACAAACAGCCAGCTGATGAAGGCAGGTGAAAAGGCTAAGCTAGCCAGTCATGTTCCAGCCTCTGGTAACCACCTTGTCAAGGCTGTCGGCAGAGAATGTGGATTCCATGGGTGAGGGCTGGAGAGGGCATGATGCACTTAGCATAGAAAGATGGCACCACCCGTGACCAAGCCTGGCCCCGTTAATAGTGGGACAGTAAGACACCGTGACTGTGATGGGAGAAAAAGTAGAACCCAGAGACCCGACCAGAAGTAGGAATTAAATTCTAGTTGTCTAGACTAACTAGTTTATTAAAATACAGGGGCTTACAGGGCACAGTGGCCCAAACATTTAATCCCAGCACCCAGGAGGCAGAAGCAGGTAGATTCCTGTGAGTTTGAGGCTAGTCTGGTCTACATAGTGAGTTCTAGGCCAGCCAAAGGCTGGCCAAGGTGAGGTCCCACCTAAAAAAACAAATGATAAAGAAATACAGGGACTGGCCTGTAACATTTGCCTGGGATATGTGAGACTCCCAGGTTTCATCTCTAGTGCTTCCAAGAAAGGATGAAGAGTGAGAAAGAGAGAGAAAATTCAAGAAGCTGAAGGGTACCAGCGTATGTCAGTCTGACAATCCCAGGTGGATGTCCTACAAGACAGTTGGGTCTTCCTCTTGAGTTGATGTCATGGGGAAAAAAACAAGGAGCAGTCTGGATGTAAAAGACATTCAGAGAAATAAAGTTTGTTGGGTGGTCTTTGATCAACTCTTCGTTAAATCAGTTATAATGACATTTCTGGCAACACTGAAGAAATCTGAATAGG